GAATTGGTAGAAGTTAGAATTCATGAGCCATTGAATCGGATCCCAGTGGCTGAATGGAATACGAGCTTGCCTCGAAACCGGAAGGTCCTTGGTTCAAATCCCAGTGGGTGCGTTCTGCCGATGATTCCCAAACTAGGATGAAACAGCAGCTCTCCAGTACTCCCTGGTTTTCATTGGTTCTCTAATTGATAATAGTCCGTGATCAACTCGTAAAACCCTTACAAACCAAACTATAGAGAATACTTTTTAATTCAAGTGTTCTTTAATCGATTTCAGATCATGATGAAATCCTTTACCCGATGAAATCCCTGCAAACCAACCTTATGCCAACTAGTGGACTGGCCTTATACAAGTAGGTAGTTAACGGCGTTCTATTGAGAATCAGTACGAGTGGGGTACAGCCGGTCAGGTGTGAGGACAAATACCCACCACGGATGACACTGGCTGGTGCCAGTCGCCCTAAATGCACGAATTGGTGCAAGTCAGAATTTAGGGACTAGACACTGAGTCGGTCGCCTCGTAACCCGAAGGTCCTGAGTTCGAACCATTGCGATGAGTGCAAACTGAGGAAGAATCTAAACTAGAGAGGAACAGCTGTCCGGTACTCCCACTTCAGTACCTTCACTGAGTCTCGAACCGATGCAATCCTGTAACCAATCAAATCCCTGTAAACCAACATTTGAAAATCGAATCAATGTTTGTTACATCATATCACTTCTGCAAGTTGTCACAGAGAGAAAAGGACGAAAGGTGAAGTGGACGAGAAGATGAAATCGTGAAGCAAGCTGAGAAAATAAACAAAAGGACTGTAGACAACACGATGAAATGTGTTGATGTGCTTCTGCAGTATTATGTTCCAATCGGAATCCAAGGTAGTATTAACAACACAAAAATTGATTAACTTGAGAAATAATATTCGTCTGCCTTTCCGTCTGTCGGACAAAATGATGTCCCACATCATATAGAACATTTGCGTTTCAGCCAATAGATCATAGGCTCGAGTTCCCCTCTATTTTTCCCAGTCTGAACAACTGAATAGCATCACCACACACACACGCGCGTGTAAAAACACACAATAAGTGTAGCTAATAACATGGTGCATAAAAAATCGATTCTGAGTAGCAGAAATTTGAGTTAATATATGTGTAAAACTTGGGCACTGTGGTAGTGAGTAATTCCACATTAGTTTGTTTGTTTGTTAGATGTATCACACAGTGAGGAAACAGTATTATTTACTGGATGACACAGTTTCGAACACAATCTATTATTGTTCATAATCATATCAATCGTAATTACACGACTTCGAAACTTGAGTTCAATAGTTTTCTTTGTCCTCTCTTATTTGTCGTCGTTGGGGTAGTAGAATTTTCCAAAATTCTGGCTGGACAGGTGTTGAATCATTCCTATTACATGTATTCGCAGTTGATTCGATTAATAAAGCTTCCGTTGGCATCAATCTCTCCCTCTCTCCACCCTGTGACATTAGATTTTAAAACTGTCATCTTATCCCATCCAGCCTACTGCATGGTTGTGTGTAAATGCATTTAGTGCTATAGCTGAACTATTCTCTAGATTTCTTATTTTATTCGGGTCAGCAAATCTAGATTTCGCTAGCAAAATCTAGGGTGAGATTGATAACAGAAGCTTTGTTTATCGAATCAACTGCAAACACGTGTAATAGGAATAATTCAACACCTGTCCAGTTGGACATCTGGAAAATTCTATTACCCCAATGACGACAAATAAGAGACGACAAAGAAAACTATTAAACTCAAGTTTCGAAGTCGTGTGATTTATAATTGATATGATTATGAATAATAAATTGTGTTCGAAACCTTGTCATCTAGTAAATAATACTGTAACACTGTGTGATACCTCATATAGACAAACTAATATGAAAGACACCTGATACTCAGGCTAAATTCCTAAGCTCAAAGAAAAGTCTTTGAGATGACAACAACTTATTAGTGGGCCGAAAATGTTATACTATTTCATAAATTTCCTTGATTAGCCTCCACGCATAGATAATTTATGGATGATTGTGAATAGACAGGATAGATTTAAATGTGTTCAATTATTACAGTCTTCTGTGGCATGATGGCAGGAAAAAAAATCTATCAGAATACGGACATTAAACATCAATTTACTTGTCATGATAGATAGAGTCGCTGCTATTTCATGCGTAACACAGAATTAGATTAATGAGACGTTGTTAGCAAGTGGCTGGCTGTTAGAGGGGAAATAGAATATTGCTGAAAAGTGTAGGCGTGTTTGATAAAAATAAAAGAAGTGTAAGTCAATTCGTCTAGCAGTTGAAAACGTTTAGTGTTGTCCTTCATTGAGGAACAGTAATAATTATTTTTTATTTGGTTGCGTTCTCTGAGCTAGTTGACTCTATTCTAAAGCTTTCGTTGACCTTTTAAACAAAACAGCTTCAACGTAAGCTTTTATATAGCGTGAACTAGATGAATGGTATAACTGGATCTCTTGACAATCTTTGTTGTTATTAATTGTTAATTTGCGTCAAACTTAGGCCTTTTTTATTGGCTTGAGTTGTAGCATCCGGAGGGCACCATACAGACAGTCCACACACCTTCCTATTTGATTGGTTCCAACCAATTGTCAAAGACTTCTTGACTTATGCTAGTTTTTGTGTATTTGATCATCCATGACTCGTTTCCAACATAACAGAACATATGTCAGCTAACACTGATCGTTGAGGAAGGCGATGCCTTGGCTTATTCTCTATTAATTGGTGAATTTAATCTGTAGTAATGTTTTCCTGTAGGCGAGAAACACATTCATCAACCTGAAACCAATCTGAAAATCTTCATCACTCAACTCAGTATCAACAACAAAATTCGGATTTTCAATACTAACGTCAAGTCAGTCAGTTCTTCTATACGGATGGATCAGAAACTTGGCGGGTCACAAAGAATATTTCCAACAGCCTGTTGTAGACCTTTATCAACAACTAACTGTCTTCGCTCTCTACCGAAGATCAGATGGCCGGAAAGAATCACCAACAAGAAACTATAGGAACAAACAAAACGAGAACCAATCACCCAACAAATATGCAGGAGAAAGTGGAGATGGATTGAACACTCGCTGAGGAGGCCGCTGCGTGACATCGCGCGTCAGGCCAGTGCTCGAGTGGAACCCGAAAGGGAAGCAGCGAGTGGGACGTCCAAGGGTGGGTGACATGGAGGAGATCGTATGAAGAGGAGTTAAAACAGTATGGACTAACATAGATGCAAGTGAAAAGTACAGCAGAAGACAGAAGCAAGTGTAGACGTGCAGTTGGAGCCCTATGTTCCACTAGGAACTTAAGGGAACAATAATAATAATGTTTTCCTGTTAACTTTCTGATTTTTCTGAGTATTAGGCTTCCAGGTATTGTCTGTGAGAAGATACAATTATATCATCCGTCATGGGGAATTCAAATAAGTTCACTTCAAGCATATTAAAACTTCTGCTGAAAATGCTGTCTGGAAGGACAATGAAACCTTCACAATGAAATCACCCAATCTCATAAAAATCATCTGTTGTCTTCGCCACTTGGCCAACCAGTCTACAGGGAATAGAGGGCTCCTGTGTGGTTGCTCCAAAAATTCAAAGTGTGTATACGGATCTGGTCTTGTAAAAGGCTAAAATGAGTGTTCGGTCATCGTAAAAACCAGTATGTACATCTACCCAATCAGTTGGTATAGCATTATACTGCGGTGATATCGACGATTGGTATAAGTGTCTGGCAGAGAGTCTCGATCCCCTTACACCACCTGGAGCAGTTGGATAGTAGATAATCAGCCTGCATATAGCAAGTGTGGCCTATATATTTTGGTAAACCAACCAATAATCTCTCCCAGTTGACTGAGTTATGACAAAGTGTATGCACTTATTCTTGATTTTCTGAAATCCTATTGTGTTTCTGTTGTTTCTAAGTAGCTGTGTAGTAGTTGCTATTATAGTTTTAATATATAATACCCACCTAGAATGAGGCAATAAGATTATTCATCCGGATTCTGGGGGAACAGCGTAGGCAATATTATCCCAGGAGGTGTCGCACACCAACAAACTCCCACACCGTCGGACATTATCATCTAACTGAATTCTGACCCTAGTTGATTTTAGTGACTTTGAGATTGAGTTGATGCCGACCAGGGTACAATCTCGTTGAAAAGGATTAGACACAGGATATAGATAAAAGTACCGATGAAATATGCAATCTTCTGAATCCAAGGACCTTCGGGTTACAAGGCGAGCTCGCCGACCATTCAAACACTGGGGTACGATCCAATTGTCACTCTTTGAATTTTGACTTGTACCACTTCGTGATTTTAGGGCGACTGTCACCAGCCAATGTCATCCGTGGCAAGTATTTGTCCTCACTCCAGAAGAGATCGACCCCACTGCTCGTCACGACACTTCTCACCAGAAGTCCACGCAACTTCGTCCTGCAGCCAGTCACCACCGAGCACCAGATTTATTTTACATGAGTTTAATTACGAGGATTCTATGTGTTCAGGACCACTGAGTTAGACCTCAGTGGCTGGATGGTCTACGAGCATGCCTTGTAAGCGGAACGTCCTAAGTTCGAACCCTGGCGGTGGGTGCCTAATGACAAAACAGCGGGCTATTCGGTTTTCAATGGTTCTCTAAATAATGTATCAATCCGACACCAAACATGAAATAATGATTCAATTGTCCAATAAGTCGGTGGTACGGCGGTCAGGACTCTCGCCGACCATGCACATGGTCCGGGGATCGATACTCGACCGGCGCACACCTGATATCCATGTTCGGCCTGGTGAATTTGGGCTACCGATATCACAGGCGGAAAATTCCATGCTTGTATCAAAAATACTGTCTGAAATCAAGCCATAATAATCAAAAATAAAAAAATTGACAACTATTAGGCAACACAAATGAAAACTAAAGCATCAAAAGAATAAGAGACAAAAAGAGACAAAACAAAGGCCCCAGTTAACTTGTTGACTTACTTCTAAAAATTGATGACAATACAGTGTCTGTTTATCTTTGCACATATTACGAAAAGCTGTAATGAGAACAGGGAATTCTTTGCATTGGATTAAATCCTTGTAGTGTAATCTAACCAATGAAAGGCAGACACGAAATAACACTTTATCACCTTCATAGAAGAGACAATCGAAAATGCGAATAGTTGTCTATACAGGAAGAGAAGAGAGAAAAAAAATGTAAAAAGGCGTACTAATTATCTCATATAATTGAAATAGTAATCAGAAATTAAAAGATTGAAATCACGAGAGAATGACAGATTAATAATAATAACATTCTGTCCTGTGTAGAGTTAATGAATCCCCTCACTAAAGAAGCTGCAAACAGGATAAAACATCTGGTCCTTGCTTATTGTCTTTTAATGGTGATCTGACGTCAGTATTTCGGTGAAATTTACCTCGAAAGCATCAATGATCAACACATTTAAACATTAGTTACAGGATTTCATCATGAGCTGGCATCAATTAGATAACCATTGGAAAACCTGGGACTACTGCCAGACAGCTATTTCGCCAGCCTGGTCTGCGACTCTTCAGCAGTACGCATACATTGGGGTTCGAACCCAGGACCTTCTGGTTACAAGGCCGGCTCGTAGACCATTAAGCCACTAGGACCCGATCCAATGGCTCATGAATTCTAACTTCTAACAATTAATGACATAGCACGACCGCTAGCCAATGTCTTTGGGGTGTATTTGTCCTCACACCCAGCCTGCTGCACCTACTGGTGGCGACATAGATACTCGCCGAAGACATCGGCTAGCGGCGGCTGTCGTGAATTGTCCGACCGAAAGCTGCTACCCTCGACCGAAAGCTGCTACCTTGACGTGGTGGTCGGGCTTGAACACCGCAATGACCCAACAAGCTATACTGGCTGGAACTTATGTTCCTGCAGGTCCTACCATGCCAGAAAGGTTGTTTGGATAGCGGTTAGACTAAAAGCAGTTACCCAAACCAATCCTATGACTTCAAATAAACCACAAAATATCATGCCGGATCGGTCGGGGCCCGGATTAACAACGACCGCGCTTTCTGCTGCCGTGTCACAGGGCAGAAGTGATAAATACGCTACTGAGACACACCAAATAAAAAACAACAAACAAAAGCAGGCCGTGTGTGACCGGCCTCAAGCAGTTGTCACCTGAGCTATGCGGTCACGCAACCAACTTCCACGGTGTGGGCAGCCGGGAAGTAACAATCGCCCTCACAACCCGAAGAGCACGCGAAACCTCTGTATTCCTCACTCACCTTTGTCTTCATCTTCATCTCTATTATCTTACCTTCCTTCTACCAATGCAACTCCTCTACTTAATGGCTCTTCACTTCCTCTACACTCTGTGTGCACTGAAAACGACGGAAGCCAAAAAGCCACCATCGATAGTCTCCTAAAGCCACGTCACCAATTCCATATAGGGGCATTTAATGTTAGGACACTTTGCCAAATAGGACAACAGGCATCACTAGCCAAGACTCTGGCATCCCGAGCCATTGATGTATGTTGTGTTTCAGAAACACGCATACAAGACCCAAGTGTGGTTATTCACCTAACCCCACCTGGCCAACAGGATGAATCTGCAAAATTCACCTTGAGGGTGTCAGGAGATGCGACGGCTAGCTCACGAGGATTAGCTGGTGTTGGGATAGCTCTGAGTACTAGGGCAGAAAAGACACTACTTGACTGGATCCCGGTAGATAGCCGAATGTGTGCTGTCCGTCTGAACGGATCAGTGAAATGGAGAAAGGACTGCACTACTCGCCGATGCCTTTTCGTAATCTCCGCCTATGCCCCCACTGACTGCAGTTCGGATGAAACGAAGGATGAGTTCTACTAAAAGCTGTCTAGTTTGCTGCGAAAGGCTAAACGCTCAGATATAGTCGTTTTAGCTGGTGACTTTAATGCTGAAATAGGGAAATTGTGTCAATCTGAGAAGAATGTCGGTGGCACATACGGAATCCCGTGCCAGCGAACCGACAACGGTGACCGTCTCCTACAGTTCTGTTCAGATAATCATTTGTTTCTTGTAAGCACTAACTTCAAACACAAGGACAGACACTGTTTGACTTGGCAACCCCCATCATCAAATCAACGCTGGACACAAATAGACCACATAGCAATAAGCTATCGTTGGCGTGGGTCAATAGGGGATTGTCGCTCCTTCTGGAACACGTGTGTAGATACCGATCACGCACTGGTCCGCGCTCGTGTGTGCTTACGACTGAACGGACGTAGGAAACAGCTGGCGGTAAACCCATCACGTCCCCAGCTCGATCTGAAGACTAAGTCCCTATTTGAGGAAGAACTAGCTAAACACATATCTGAGTTCGACAGCTGCGCTCACCCTGAAGAAGCCTGGAAGAATATTCAATCAGCCATAGATACAGCTGTAAAAGCTGTGAATAAGGTAAATCCAAAGGTGAGTAAAAACCATTGGATTTCGACTGCCTCATCCGAACTGATAGATGCTAGAAGACTTATTCCGACGAGCTCCGAATTCAATGAGGAGCGAAAGCTGCACAAAAGGAAACTTACGAAAAGTCTCCGCAAGGACCGTGAACAGTGGTGGTTGACAAAGGCGAAAAAGATGGAAAATGCATCGGCGATAGGCAACACTAGGCAACTCTTTAGACTCATCAGGGAAACGGGTGGGAGAAGGCAAATCATAAGTGAGACTATTTGTGAGAAAAATGGCTCCTTAATTAGCTCTCAGGATAGACGCCTCGAACGCTGGAAAGAACACTTCGAGGAACAGTTTAATTTGCCTACAGCCACACTGAGCCTCCCCGCCATCCAGCACACACCCGAATGGGATATAGACACTGGCCCGCCGTCTGTAAGTGAGGTCACCAAGGCGATCTGTAATTTGAAACGAGGCAAAGCAGCAGGACCCGACGGAATTATTCCGGAGGTGTTTAAATATGGGGGTGACATGCTAGTATATAGTTTAACTAAGGTACTAGGTAACGTCTGGGAATCAGAGACGGTTCCATCAGATTGGGGTAAGTCACTTATTATACCAATTTTCAAGAAGGGAGACAAGTCGTCATGTGATAATCATAGAGGGATCAGCTTAACGAACATAGTCTCTGAAATCCTAGGCTCAGTAATCATGAACAGACTAAGCCGAACTCGGGAGGAACAAACGAGGAAAAATCAAGCGGGCTTTAGGCCAGGCAGAGGGTGCATAGATCATATCTTCACTCTCCGACAGATCCTAGAACATAGACACACTTTTAGGCGTCCAACAATTGCCATATTTCTTGACTTGAAGGCGGCCTTCGACTCCGTGGATCGAGAGGTACTATGGAAATGTTTGACTATGAAGGGAGTGCCAAGAAAGTACATTGCACTAATCAAGGCACTCTACTCAAACTCACGTAGCTGTGTAAGGGCTTATGGGGAATTGTCATCTGAATTGATAACAACCAGTGGTGTCCGTCAAGGATGTCCACTTTCCCCTTTTCTGTTTAACTTCATCATAGATATGCTAATGGAAGTATCCTTAACTGAACTTAACGACTTAGGAATCGACTTGTTACCAGGGAATAGTCTTATAGACTTAGAATACGCAGACGACATAGTCCTGTTAGGGGAGGACGCTGACAAAATGCAGAGTCTTCTGAACACCTTGAGCAGCAATCTTCGTATGTTTGGCATGCGATTCGCCCCTGTAAAATGTAAGATACTGCTACAGGACTGGACTACGTCAACTCCTAGCTTAGTGATAGGGAGTGAAGTGATAGAACATGTTGACCACTTCACCAAGGGACGTGAGAACTGCTCAGCAGTTCGGTCCGTCCTTCTCTATGGTAGTGAGACGTGGCCATTGAGAGCGGAAGACATGAAGAGATTGTCTGTTTTTGACCACAGATGTTTACGATCTCTTTCTCGAGTTAGGTGGTATAATAAGGTAAGTAATGTTGACGTTAGGCGTAGAGTGTTGGGCAAAGAGGGAAAATCACTCGAAGAGGCTATAAAGTTACATAGATTGAGATGGCTAGATCACATGCTGCGCATGCCTAACCATCGTCTCCCCCACCCCGACGGGCATTACTAGCTGACATAGGTGTAGGTTGGAAAAGAGTAAGTGGTGGCCAAACAAAAACATCGCATCAATCCATGAAATCCCTGACAGTTAAACTGAGTCAGGTAGGGAGATGCAGACTTCCGGGTTGGGGCCCTCGGGACTCTAAGAATCAATGGCTGGAGACACTAGGTGACATGGCTCAAAATCGTTGTCAATGGCGCAGATTTATTCAGTCTCTTTAACCTTCATATTCCTTTCTACCATTACTCATTCTGTTTCACTCTTATACTTATCTAAATTCTATTGATTCTCTTCTCTCCTTTCCCTGTCTACCTTTGTGTGCTATTTGGAACGTGGCAACTCGAACTGCTGCACTTCGGTGCCAAGTTCTATGTTGAATCCAGCAGCAGCAGCAGAATTGTCAGAAGTTGGAATTCATGGGCCATTGGATCGGATCCCAGTGGCTGAATTATCTGCGAGCTCGCCTTGTAACCAGAAGGTCCTAGGGTTCGAACTGGGTGCGTACTGTGAAGAGTTCCAAACTCGGACAAAACAGCTCTTCAGTATTCCCTGCAGGTTTACCAATGGTTCTCAAACCGATGTCAGCTCATGATGGAATCCTCTAACCAAGCAATCGAATCCCTACAAACCAATGTTTGATCATTTAAACATTATTAAATGAATTACATTCAATTTATGCAGTCTTAAACTGCTATAAAACTTCAAGTTAGATCACAAATTAGCATCAAATAGACAGCTATTGAAAACCAAGGGGTACTGAAGATCTGTTTCGTCCCTGTCTGGGACTCTTCAGCACTATGCGTGCCAGAATTCAATTCGGAACTTTCAGGTTACAAAGTCAGCTTATCGATTATCCAGCCACTACAAATGGCGATATATAGCGTCACAGCAAGCCAGTGTCATCGAGCAGTAACAGTCATGAAACCCGAGTTGTGAACTCTCCCTAGTGACAATTCATACTAAAAGTAGAATGACTCCATCCCATAGTGAACGTTAGATTAATTTTTATGTGTTGGCTGGCAGCGATTCAATTGATTCCAAGTTAGATAATGACATGATATCAGGTAGAGAACCACTGAAAACTAAGGGCTAATGGAAAAGTGT